AGAGACGGCAACGCTAATGGAGGCAAGGCTTGATGAGCGTAATGGTGAGATCGATCGGGAAGCTTCGACCTTAGGAGATCGGGTCGCCGCTCTTGAGAATGAAAATAAGCGACTGTTTGCTCAAATTGAGTCTTCCTCCGCCGTTGTTCCCCGCCGCCTACACGAGCTTTAGGTTCATGCTGAAGCTTAGGGGGATATATACAAGAGCCTGTGAGAGGCGGGTTATATTACTGAGGCCGCATACGAGGAGCACGAGCAAAGGCGCGAGAGGCCCGTGTCAACTGTGGTTATGACTCTGCAACTCCGGAGGCCAAAGAGGGCGCGGATGATGAGGGAGAGCTTCCTGGAGATTATGGTGGCGGTGGTGACGCCGAGTGAAAGAACGTTGTCTTAGTCTGTTTTCTGTTTATTTATATTCATCGTCGATTGTCATTGTTCCTTTCTCTTTTTTTATTGTTGTCTTGGGCAGTATATAATCTGCGACCGTTAGCATGGTGACCTTGTATGAAGAAGAAATTTTTCGTTGTTATCCACCCCGTACTTTATCTTTGTTTTTGCTTTTTTTGACTTTGGTGCGGGATGGATTCCCGCATGGTGAGTCCCGGTATTTTCTTCCCTTTTTGTTTGCTGACGGCCCTTGGCCTTAAAATATATTCTGAATTTTTCCCTTTGGCGATGGCTCGTGGCCTTGAGGGTGTGATTTCGAACTTGTGTCGAAATATCGACCCATCATTGTTTGATTAAGGTCGAACTTTTCTTTTTGGAGAAGGCTCTTGGACTTAAAGGGTGTTATTTCGAACTTATAAAAATAGTAACCTGTCGTCGTTCGATCGAGGTCGAACTCTTCTTTCTAGCGAAGGCCCTTGGCCTTAAAGGGTGCTATTTCAAACTTATCGAAATAGTAATCCGTCGTCGTTCGATCGAGGTCGAACTCTTCTTTTTGGCGAAGGCCCTTGGCCTTAAAGGGTGTTATTTCGATCTTATCGAAATAGTAACCTGTCGTCGTTCGATCGAGGTCGAATTCTTTTTTTTGGCGAAGGCCCTTGGCCTTAAAGGGTGTTATTTCGAACTTATCGAAATAGTAACCCATCGTCGTTCGATCGAGGTCGAACTCTTCTTTTTGGCGAAGGACCTTGGCCTTAAAGGGTGTTATTTCAAACTTATCAAAATGGTAACCCGTCGTCGTTCGATCGATGTCGAACCCTTCTTTTTGGTGAAGGCCCTAGGCCTTAAAGGTTGTTATTTCGAACTTATCGAAATAGTAACCCATCATCATTCGATCGAGGTCGAACTCTTCTTTTTGGCGAAGGCCCTTGGCCTTATAGGGTGTTATTTCGAACTTATCGAAATAGTAACCCATCATCATTCGATCGAGGTCGAACTCTTCTTTTTGGCAAAGGCCCTTGGACTTAAGGGGTGTTATTTTGAACTTATCGAAATGGTAACCGTTGTCGTTCGATCGAGGTCAAACTCTTCTTTTTGGCGAAGGTCCTTGGCCTTAAAGGGTATTCTTTCGAACTTATTGAAATAGTAACCCATCGTCGTTCGATCGAGGTCGAACTCTTCTTTTTGGCGAAGACCCTTGGCCTTAAAGGGTATTCTTTCGAACTTATTGAAATAGTAACCCATCGTCGTTCGATCGAGGTCGAACTCTTCTTTTTGGCGAAGGCCCTTGGCCTTATAGGGTGTTATTTCGAACTTATCGAAATAGTAACCCGTCGTCGTTCGATCGAGGTCGAACTCTTCTTTTTGGCGAAGGCCCTTGGCCTTATAGGGTGTTATTTCGAACTTATCGAAATAGTAACCCGTCGTCGTTCGATCGAGGTCGAACTCTTCTTTTTGGCGAAGGCCCTTGGCCTTAAAGGGTGTTATTTTGAATTTATCAAAATGGTAACCCATTGTTGTTCAATCGAGGTCGAACTCTAATTTTTGGCGAAGGCCCTTAGCCTTAAAGGGTGTTATTTCAAACTTATCGAAATAGTAACCCGTCGTCGTTCGATCGAGGTCGAACTCTAATTTTTGGCGAAGGCCCTTAGCCTTAAAGGGTGTTATTTCGAACTTATCGAAATAGTAACCCGTCGTCAGTCCTAGTTTTTGGAGAATCAGACATCCTTTGGGGGAGTCCCAGTTCGTTTGACATTGTTTGCATAAGAGAGTTCAATGTTGGAGAGTACGAAGCCGTTGCTGTTTCGCTTAGGTTCGTTCTCCGCACACATTGTAGTTTCCTTGTCTGATTCCTGCCTTCCGGCTTGGAGGTGTCACTAGCGAGTGGTATTTCAGTTGTCTTGTAGTAGTTTCTCATTCTTTAATTGAGACGTTTCTTTGCTTGCTCGCCCGCACGGCATTTGCGTTCCTGCTTGAGCAAAGAGCAGAAGGTAAGTTAAAATGATACTTTCCTTACCCCCATCCGATGGACCGGTGAATGAGAGCATGTTTGTAACGTTGCTCGTTTTGTTTGGCATTTCGATGGTTGATGGGACGAGGATTTCTAAATTCGGTGACTCTACTCGGCTCTCCTTCCCCTTTTGTGTTGCGCCTTTGTCCCGCGTGGGTTGGGTTTTGCCTTAGCGCTCTTTTCAGTGGGTAATCGTGTTTCTTGTCTTTGATCTGGAAGAGACTAGGAAATTTCACTAAGAAATCCCCACAGACGGCGCCAAATTATTTGACTAAAAAGATATTGGGATCTCTTCGAACAAATCAATTAAAGAAAAATGAAGGCGTAAATCTTAGTTAGACATAATAAATTCCAGATCAATGAGCTAACTGAATAAATAATACATAAGATGAAACCGAGGTGACCAATCTTATTGGAACTTTCGTTGTGTCTCCCTTTAATCAATTGGGGAGGTTGTTTTCAATATCCTTCTTTGGAGATTGCTAAATTGTTCCTTTTGTTTTTAGGAAGATTGTAGAAGAGGGAAGTAAGGAGAGAAGGAGAAGCCATCCTGATTCCCTTTAACCGAAGGTTTTTCCTTACTATATATAGTCATGGGACCTTTGCTATCTACTTGGTCCGACGCTCTTACATTATGTCCGTCTTGGTCCTCTAAACATCGTTTCTTCTGGCTTGACGGGTATCGAGAATGCTTGATGTGGAATAGGCCATGTCGTCTTTCACCGCCTTGCCGCTTGGACGGGACGTTGGTCGGCTTGATGGCAGCGGTCAGATTTTGATTAATACGATGAACTTATTAAAAATGGGTCAACTATAAATAAGAATCATATTATCCATTAAAAAAATGGATAACCAATGAGTTTAAATTTTATATTTGCAGAGACTCAAATTGGAGGTTCTTTAAGTTGGGAGGCTAGAAATTCTCCCAAAAGTGATCATACTCATGAAGTCATGTATAATATGTTGGTTAATTCATTTTCTATATGTATTAAATATGGGTCGGATAGGATAATTTGTCCGTTTTTTTGTATTACCCGTTTTTACCTGCTCATATCTGTTTCGATCCGCCCGTTTCCCACCACTAGATAGATCCCTTTAAAACCCAACTTTTATGAACTCAGCACCGATGGGGCTGCCCTTGGTAACCCTGGTAAGGGTGGTATTGGTGAGTTGATACGAGATTCTTTGGGTAAGTGGATTAGGATTTACCAGAATTAAATCCTAAATGCAGAATGTCAAACCTTGTTTTAAGGGCCTCAAATTGCTCAACGCTTCCACCGTCACCAATTCAAAATAACTGCTGATGCAACATAGGTAATTGCTGATTTTGCTATGGTTACAAATTGCAAATTTATGGTATTCTGACATTACACATAATTCCAGGTTCGTGATTCGCCAGCTAGTAATCCACCTATTTACATAGTTAGGGAGCAGAATATGGTAGCTGATCTTTTGGCCAAGCATGGTTGCAGAGTAGATGGCGCAATCACCACTCAACTTTTTGCTGTTCCCTCAGTCTTCATTTTTGAAACTAGTTGACGCAGATACAGCTGGAAAGTGTTACTATGGAGATATCCCTTTTTGTACTACTATGAGTGGATGTATTAGTTCTACTTGCCACAACTTTACGTTGGCGATGAACTCTCTTTTTGTAATGTGCCACGGGCACTCTCCTTCCTGTGATATTGGTTTTTAGCTTAATGTAAGTTTCTTTTAAAGAAAAAAAATATATCTTTAATTTATTAAGATAAGTTCTATTTTCTTGGAATATGTAATATACATCCATGTTCCCTTGTTTATACATAGATTTTGATGTAAATCTTGAGCTGGTATATCACTAATATTAGATGTGTCACCCAAGTTTAGAGTTCGTTGGAAGAAAAAAAGCAAAGATGCAGCCACACAACTAGATGGCGCAATCTCCACTCAAAGATGCGGCCACATAACTAGATGGCGCAAACACCACTCAACTAGGAAAATTGAATCGGAGAACTTACATCCTATCTCCTTTTATAAGTTACTTTATTATTTTCACTTTAGGCTTTGCAGGATTCAAGTGACAGTGTAGTTGCCAGAATAGTTCCATCTAAGCAACTTGTGCTTCTTGTGTTGTGTTTGGAATCAGTAGTAATCCCTGTTTTGGCTTTATGTATTTCCAGAGCCAACCAGAAGCTAAAGCCATGAAAATGTGCTAGCTATTATATGGCTGAGTTATGGAATTTTTATGGCGAATAAGCAAGAAATGACGACTCCGAAGATTTATTTTTTGCAATTGTTGACAAGTTAATAGTTTCAGAATAGCGTTCACATCATGACGTAGGGAAAGAAACAATGTTACCGTCTTTCAACACTAAAAAGCATAACTTTTGGGCACAAAATTATTTGTTCATTTTCCTTTTCTCTAATCAATTTTAGTAAAACTGCAAATATATAATACAAAGAGAATTCAAACGAAAAGGATTTTCCTTTTGACCATATAAGATTACTAGTTAATCTTGCTAACTGTTGGCCCCCAACTTGGATAGCACTGGAGATATTTACAGCATCATAACAGAGAGCCAATGCTTGCGACTGGCAAAATCCAGGCCAAATACGACACACAACATTGAAGAACGAAAAGGCATGATGCACATAGTGGAAACAAATACAGCAGGGTGCCTAGCGAAACAAAAGGTTTGGGCATTCTCAGCTTGGGAAAATGCCATACCAAGATACAGATGACCAAACACCAATTATCCAACAACAATCTGTTACTGGATCACAAGCACAACAAATTTAAATAACATACATGACAGGATATTGCCACTAGTTGACATTGAAACAAATCAAAAGTTGAGATAACCATATGCATACATAATCACAAACTTATTTCCATAAAACATCCATAGTTAGCCCCTGATAACTACTCCTCCGCGATCTCATGCAAAATCCCATTGAAGAATTTTCAGGCAGACATGTTAACTGCTGCCAAGACATCCACTTACACATTTAATATTTGGAAACTGCTCACCATCGCATGTAGCAGAACTTGGTAAGAGAGATCTCCTATAAGATAGGTAGACTAGCTTCTCACTCATTGACACCAACCAGCAATCCACCAAAATCTGACATACCAACCGTGCACCATCCAAACAGGCAAGGTTCTTACTTCCAAAGCTCCCAACCCCTGCACCTACTGACCTGAGTCTGACTTGTCCAGTCTGAAGAGCTAGGCACAAGCTGGCATACACCAAAAAAAGTGAGTTATTTTCTATAAATATATTTCTTGGATATCTGAGAAATCCATTATTTTTGTCTTCGAAGCTCGGTGGAAAGTGGGTCCTCTCACCTTGCCCTCCTAAGTGAGAATTTTTAAGAAAGGGTAAACTGTGTCGATGCATAACCAGGGAATTAACCTTAATAACCTCAAGCTGAAAACAGGAAAGAAAGGGTGTGTTTGGTACGAAGGAAAACATTTTCTTACTTACTATCTGGTGTTTGGTTAGGTAGCAGAAAATATTTTTTAAAAAATATATTATTTAGGAAAACAGTATAGGAGAAGAAATGTGCAAAAGCGGGAAAGGGTGGAAGGTCGGGGTCTAGGGGCNTTTTACTCTTCTTGGTAGGGAAGTCATTTTCCTCCAATTCACGTAAAATGAGTTCACGAGGAAAATGTTGTTAAGTCCATGAGGAAAATGTTTGCCAAAACATTTAAGCCAACCAAACATGTGAAAATTGAAAAATATTTTCTTCGTACCAAACACAACCAAAGTGTGGGAAGTTTTAAATTGGAATTCAATAACTGAAGAATGAAAATATCATAGTTATTTAGGCACTCATTTTCCTTCAAATAAGAAAAGCATAATAGTACTCAGATTCCAGCCCTAAGTTAACCCCAGCCCCACCAAAGGTAAAAAAAGAAAAAGAAAAACACCAGTGCCCCCAAATACTTTCCAGACCAACCAGCAAAAGCACATAATAGTTATTAAGCTCGCTCAGAGAAAATATCAGGGTAATGAAAGAGCCATCAAGAGCTTGAATTTGTTCTTACATTGGAATCTATGTAAATTCTTCGGGGTTTTCCTCCCATGCTAGGAAGAAAAATAAAAATGAGGGGAACTTTCTCAGCGGACTACCGAGAAAATAAAAGCCATCCCCTCATTAATGAATTATCAAAAAATGTTAAAAGTATGTCCAACATATTAACTAATCGTGTGGACTCAAATGCAACAGTAGAGATCCAAGAGAATGGGAGGGAGGAAGGGAGGGGAGAGGAAGGGAGGAAGAGAGAGCACGAATACCTGCTCAACAGCAAGTGCCCGCAACACTCCAAGACCATCCATGCTGCGAGAAAACTTAATTAACCTTGGCGACACTGCAAATATGATGGTTGAACGTCATAGCAACAGGCCGCTGGACATCGCCACTGTAACTGTTAACAACCTGGAAAAGCTTGAGCAGCCAACTGTAAGAAAGATAAAATGCAGGGCTCGGAAAGATAAAAGCAGTCATGGAGAATGTGTTCAAGTAATTCTCTGTAAAGGTACAGAAAAATGTCATTTTACCATCTAATCTCCTGTATCCATATCACACAAAAAAATGGCCTTCCCACAGAGACTGTCCTTCATGCCGCTGAGGCAGTTCAACAGATTGTTGGTTTCCACTCTGGAGTTGCTGAGGTTGCCCCTGGTACAGTTTTAATTGTTCAGATATCTGGTAGTCCTCCCAACCTCTCTGGTTCCCTGATTGCACATGCAGAGAGTTTACCTGTTTCCCAGGGAAAGGAAAGCTCACCATCCCAACGGAGCTACTACTCTTGCTCATTGAGTGGTAGTTTTGTGTTGAATGATTAATGGAGTTATTGAAACCAATGCTCTGATGTGATGAAGGCAACTGATATCCATCCAGCCAGCTATAGTCATCCATAGGAGGAAGAGTAGTATGTTCATTCTTTATGGTCATTGCTGAAGAAGACTCCTCCAGGACTTTCGAAGGAACAGAACCAAAGCCTGGAGGCGGACCCAGATGCCTAATAGGTCTGCTAACTGGATTTTTCCTTATGCCTGTTGACATGACTGATGGGGACTTAATTGACATGCTATCAATACCAACTACTGAGGATGAAAGTGAACTGAAGTTAGATGGTATGGCAGCATCTGGGATATGCACACGAATATTATTTGTCATGCCAAAATTGACAGACTGGGGAAAAGGGACAGAATATGGCTCAGGTGGAAATACTTGATCTTGCAACTCAGATATTACAGTTGGACCATTTCCTATCATGTTCAAGCTGGCAAGTCCATTCATAACAGCAGCTCGTTCAACGGACCACAATGAAGTACTTGGTTGAATAGGCTGCATATATTGGCCACTGTTATTGGCAATACTTGAGGGTGGCCTTGCACTAGCATGTAATGCACTCTGCATGATCAATCCATCAAGTGCAGCTGAAAATGGACCCATTTCATTTCCTAGACCAACAGAGGCCACGCTAACCCCAGGAGGAACACTGGCAGCACTAACACCAGAATCATGACCTTCTGAGGTCATCATGTTTGAAGCACTTCCATTCACATGCTTTTCTACCACCGATGGCTTAAAAACAATTACCTCATCTTCTTCCTCACCTTCCACATACAATTGCTGCTTTGGCTGCAGAGGTCCTACAGTTAACTGCCCTGCAGCTGAATTCTCCAACTCAATACCACTCAATTTGGGAACTTCCATGGAGCAATTAAGCGCATAATCATCAGATACTTGAGGCTCAATGCCAATGATGAATTTCTTTGCTCTACCGTCAAAATATATTCCCTCTTCTCCAACACGGACCACATTAGCAAGAGCCTTTCCTGCTGCTATTATCCTCTGGAGACGTGATTTCTTCTCTTTGATGCCACCATCACCACCAAAAGAATGTTTCCTTGAAAAATCAAGGATAAGTTGTGCCGGAAGAAAAGGTATAAATCCTCTCAGCTCAAAATCCTCGGGTAATGCAAGACGATTATCGCTCTCTCCTTCATCATACCTGCTCATATTGAAGAAGCATGTATCATCCTTGTCATCATCAACAAACTTAAACCCACTAGACAAAAGCTTATTAAAGAAAGCAATGCAGTTCTTCCAGAAAAATGATCTAGCCCTGGTTTGCTTCTCTTCTGGTTCGTTGCCAAGTGCAACATCTTGACGGCTCGCTAACCATTCTACAAACACCAAAACCCCTGGCAAAAGGAAACTTGTTGTGGGATCATTTAATTGGACACATCTTTCAACTACATGACCCATGAACTCAAACACAGCAGCAAATGCATTCTGTAGGAGAACCGATCTTTGTAAAATCTCAGCATATGACTGGTTTTCGCTTTCCTTATTCACGTTATGAACAGTGAATATTAGGATGGCCACGAGCCTCACAAAAGCCAGTTTACAGTCGGCAGTGTCAGAACCAAAATTATACTTCTCATCAGTCCCAGAGGAGAGAAGCTCAAGCAGATCCTTTTTAACCACCGATTGCACTTCTCCAAAAGTCTCCAAACTGGTTAAAGATGGAAAACAAAGCAATAATATCTTAATGATATATTGTAGTCAAAACACCAGAGATTTGTATTACAGCATGGACAGGAAAATACCTAGTGCGAGTGAAAAGAATACCATTCAATCGAACAAATCTTGTGCTGAAGGTTTTGAAGATGTCAGACATACTAGAACCTTTTTCCTGGGCTGAACTTGCTTCAACCCTACCATCTTTCAGTGGATGCCTCGTTTCTCCTTTGCTTCTTCCTTTGCCAGTTGTACGAGGACGTACGGCCTTGGTGGAGGAAGCTTTAGTATCCCCCACAAGTTGAGAGTAACACTGACGGTTCTGCCAAAAGATGTTAACAGATGCTACTGTTCACAAATTTTACAAAGGACCAATAACATCTAGTTAAACAAATAAAATTTACATGAGGAACAACAGAAATCCACAATTTATTTGGGTTCCATAAGTTCTTGGTGATTCACATTGAGAGTTAACATGCGTTCAAAGTAATAGAGTTAACCTTACCATTCAAAAGATAAAACTAAAGGCCATCGACACAAGAGTAACATCACTGAGTCCATAAGTTCTTGGTGATTCACATTGAGAGTTAACATGCGTTCAAAGTAATAGAGTTAATCTTACCATTCAAAAGATAAAACTAAAGGCCATCGACACAAGAGTAACATCACTGAGTCTTCCAGTAAAGGTCACTCGAAATAGCAAATATTCTGGAAACCGTCTATGTCCAAACCACGCTAAACTAAAAATAATTGAAATTCCTCCCCAATCTCTTTCGGAATTACAAAAATGATACGCATGTATGTCAAAATTTTAACACATTCCTATCTCTACTAACAGTGGTAGAGCCAGGAATACTAACGGCATTCAAGAAAATAACGAAAAAATGCCCCATCTTCTATTTTTAGCCACTTTTGCCACTACACTATAAGCTTTTTTATTTGAAGTGGAATCAAAAGTTGGGATGAAGAATTGAACCCCCTACCTAACATGTGGTACTCCCCTGTCTACTAGGCCAAAAGAAACGGGTATAGTACAACTACACATATATAGCATACAATTAAACATTCTCTAAGCCACAAACCAACTTCATTACCTGTCTATGGTTAGCTATTACATAAATCATCAATATTGTCCGCTATTAGAGCAGGTTACGGTACAACATTCTTAGCTTTTACCAAAATCATTTATGGTTACGTACCACGAGAAATACCACGCTGCTACAAGATATTTGCGGCAGTTCTAACACAGACAAGCAGGAGATATATGACATAATTCAAGCCATTCTAAATAACTCTCACTACTAAATCTTTTCCTGCATCCGCATATGGGTAACATCGAACATCTATTTTCTCAAGAAGGCACCAAGGATGAGAACCATGAGGTCTCATATTCAAATACAGCAGAAACACTAGGTGTTTTCTTCTCATTTGTTCTAGTAGGAGGAATCAAGTATCCCGTGAAATTAGTCGAAGTGCATACAAACTCGTCCAAACACCATGGTTATACCCAAAAAAAAGAACGTACCAAGCCAACAACTAAAGTAAAGATCTCAATCCAGACTAAATAATACCTAGTAGTCATGATCCTACATAACAAACTCCAGTTGGTCAATCATAAACATTCTCACCACCAACATAAGGATGCAATTTTTCCAACATTAAAAAAAAATTAGTCTACTACCTCCATTTCAATTTATGTGACGTAGTTTGACTCGGCACGGAGTTTAAACAAAAAAGAAAGACTTTCGAAACTTGTGATTTTAAAAGCTTAAGGATAAATACTTTTGTGGGGCTTTCAATTTGTGTGGTTATAAAAGCTTCTCACTAAGGGTAAAATGGATAAAAGGGAAAGTTTAAAGATAAATTATTTTCAAATGTAGAAATATGTCATTATTTTGGAACGGACTAATAAGGAAATGTGTCATATAATTTGAACCGGAGGGGCACCTAAATCAATTATCTAATGATCACATTACACAAGAGTGAGTGTGTGTGTCTGGGAGGCTTTTTTTT